TCCTCCTCTTCCTCCTCTTCCTCCTCCTCCTCCTCCTCCTCCTCCTCGTCATCCCTGCTTTCTCCCTCCTTGTCCTGAACCTCCTGCAGATCCTCATGGGGTCTTGTGGCATTCAGCCGCTCGTCGAACTTTTTGCCAACCCGCACACAAAGCCATCGATACAGGCAAGAGAGAGGGAGGGGGACGAGGAGGACAAGCAGGAGGTGGAGATGCAAGAGGAGAAAGAGAAAGAAGAGCGAAGGCAGGAGGACGAGGACGAGGACGAGGACGAGGACGAGGACGAGGACGAGGAGGGGCTGACGGGGCGCAGGTTGACTGTCTGAGGGCGTTGGAGGAGCTGGTGCGAGCAAGCAGCGATGCGAGCAAGGAGTTCATCAACTCGGAGGGTCTCCGACTGACAGTCAGATGCTCCTCCTCCTCCTCCTCCTCCGTGAGGCTCGAAGCCCTCCAGCTGCTCTCAGCCGCCCTCCTCCACTCGCAGGCAAGTCGACAGAGAGCGAGGGGGAGGAGGAGGAGGAGGAGGAGGAGGAGGAGGAGGTCTGACACTGAGAGGGCAGGTGGAGAGCAACGAGAGGTTTTCAGATAGCATCCTCACAGGCCTGTCAAAGTTCATCGGAGGGGGAGACCTTGAGTGCTCTCTAAGAGCTGCTCGTCTCTTCCGCGACCTCTCGACTGCTGCAGACAAGCGGCAGGTCATGTGGTCCAGCCTTCGGGGACACAACATGAAGCTCTCTTCCTCCTCCTCCCTCTCCTCCTCCTCTTCCTCCTCCAACGGGATCGTCGAAGTCCTCCGTCTGATGCAGCAGCTGGCCAGCAAGCTTCAAGGGGACGATCTCAGCGTGACGAAGAGGAGGAGGGAGGAGCAGCGGGCGGAGAGTCAGACGCTGAGCATGCTGCTGGAGGGGTTCTGCATCATCACCGGGGCGAACAGCAGTGAGAGGATCAAGACAATTCACAGCATGTCCCTCGACCTCCTCCTCACCTTCCACTTCCCAGACGTCCTGCTCTCCTGCCTTCTCCCTCCCTCCTCCCCGTACAAGGAGGAGGTCACGCGCAGGAGCCTCCTCTGCCTCTCGTCCGTCCTCCTCCACTCCCTCAGGCTCGGCAGCCTTCTCATCCCGCAGCAGCAGCAGCAGCAGGGCATGGAGGTGCTGGGGAAGGCCGGGGAGAGCAGACCCTTCAAGTGGATGAGTCAGGAGGGCTGCTTGCAGCTGCTCAAACTCGCCGCGTTCCATGAGGTGGAGGAGGAGGCGGTGATCGTGCGTCAGGGGAGCGAGCGACCTCCTGCTTTATCATCCTGTCCGGCCACGTCAGAGTCCTCGTGTCTAAGAAGGACAGCAGCGAGATGAAGGTTAGCAAGAAAATCCATCCTCCTCCTCCTCCTCCTGCCCCACCACCATCACCTCCTCCTCCTCCTCTTGCTCCTCCTCCTCCTCTTGCTCCTCCTCCTCCTCCTCCTCCTCCTCCTCCTCCTCCTCTTCCTCCTCGACGTCCTCTTGCTCCTCTTGCTCCTCCTCCACTACATCTTGCTCGTCCTCCTCTGCTCCTCCTCCGCTCCTCCTCCACTGATCCCTCACCTCATCGCAGGAGATCGCCATTCTCGGCCCTCAGGACAGCTTCGGCGTCTCCCACCTCTTCCTCAGCGACCCGCGTCCCTCCACCGCCATCGCCATGAGCCCCTGCCAGCTCCTGGAGCTCTCGCGCTGCGACCTCGCCATCTTCAGTCAGATCCATCCCGACTTCGCCGAGCACCTCAAACGCTACCAGGACGCCTACGCCAACCACGTTCCCATCCTCCATGATCGCGTCCTGACAGGGAGGGAGAGGGAGGAGGCGATCCGGTCCTGGTCCCGCTCCTCCCTCTTCCTCCTTCTCGAGAACCTCCGCACCATCGCTGACATCCTTTGTGCCTGCGAGCTCGAGGAGCATCAGGAGGTGGAGCGGCAGGTGGTGGCAGGGGTCCTCCTTCCTCTCTCCAGACTCAAGCAGTTCCATCAGCCTCTGCTCGAGCTCGGCGTCTTCAAGCGACTCAGTTGCCTCCTCCTCTCCTCCTCTCCCGAAGTCTCGCGCGGCGCTGCTGCTGTCTTCACTTCCTCCCTACGCTGCAAGGAGACTCGCTCGCTCCTCCTCTCTCCGCACTCGCAGCTCGCACGTCCTCTCCTCCGCTTCTTCCTCGAGAGGCTCAGGCATCACCCGACAGACTCGCTCTTCGCGCTCTCCTGCTGCGCCGACTTCAAGCAGCTGCGGCACAAGATGCTCGCGCGAGGTCTCCTGCAGACCCTCCTCCTCATCATGCAGAGCTGCGTGGAGGAGAAGAGCAGGCGGCTCAAGGGAGGAGCGGGGAGGACGTTGAAGGAAAGCATGGAGCTGGGAGCTGCGCTAGCGGAGCATCAAGACTGTCACGCTGCCATGGAGGAGATGAGGATGGTTGAAGAGGTCGACGCGCTCTTCCAACACAAGAGCTTTCGGTCCTCCATCACTCCTGCCGTCGTCTCCGCCTACAGCTCTTTCCTTAGCTCCATCTACGAGCACGAGCCGCCAGCTCGAGACTCCCTGGAAGAAGTCTTCCAGAAGACCCTCGGGAGCAGATTTAAGCACGTCAGCTCAGAGCGAGAGAGAGTAGCAGAGAGAGCAGGAGAAACGAAAGTGAAGAAAAGAGGAGCAGGAGCAAATGCGGGAGCGGGAGCAGGAACAAGGGGAGGAGGAGAAGGAACAGGAACAAGAGGAGGAGGAGGAGGAGGAGGCAGACCGAAACTGAGGAGCAGAAAGTTGAGCAGGAAGGGCTCGGGGAAGTCGCAGCGTCAGGTGGCGGAGGAGGGAGCGGGGCCGCAGTTCTACACGAGGGCGAAGAATCTCCTCCTCCTCCTCTTCGAGAGGTTCCCGGAGATCACCTGGGAGCTAGCGGAGGGAGAAGGAGCTGCTCCCCCCCCCTCCTCGGGCTCTCAGATCGTCATTCCCGATGCCAAGGCAGACGCTGCTCCTGCAATGGACGACTCGTCCTCGTCCTCGTCCTCGTCCTCGTCTTCGGAGGAGGAGGAGGAGATGGCGGGAGCCTTGAGCGAGTCAGAGAGGGAGAGGAGCCAAGAGAGTCTGAGGAGCCTTGATGACGAGAAGCAGCTCACGTTGCAGGACGGAGACATCTACTCGGAGGAGGAGATGAGGATGAGGAGGCGGGCGACCTTCATGGGGCTGGTGCAGGAGAAGAAGCTGCTCTTTGCTCGCTACATCAACATCGCGCAGCGATACGAGCAGGAGACGTGCGTGTGGGTGTCCAACAAGGAGACCATCGAAAGCAAGAAGTTCAGCACGCTGAGGAAGACGACGTCCTTGGATGTGCTGGACGCGTGGGAGAGGAGGTGCAAGAGGAGTCAGCACGAGAAGTTCGCAGTAGGACTGAAGCTGTCCTTCACCGGCACCTGCCTCCCTGACTCCGAGCGGATCTCCCTCCTCTCCGACATCCGCGACATCCTCGAGACCCTCGCGGAGCAGGAGGAAGGGAACGATCGAGCAAGGTAAGCTTCTCCCTCCTCCCTCCCTCCTCCCTCCTCCTGTCCACATTCTCATCCATCCCCCCCCCCTCCCTCTTGGCTTCTCCTGTCTCAGCCTCACCCTCTTCCTCCTCCTCAGGCCCTTCAAGGTGTTCGCCAAGATCTCCGTCGACTCGCTGCAGGAATCCTCCTTCGCCCCATGTCCTAGTCAGATCTCCTCCATGCGTCAGAACGGCATGCTGCTCGGCGACGTGACTCTGCCTCCCCCTCTCCTCCCGCTGCTCACCACCAGCCCAGGTTGACGCCTTCTCCGCCTCCTTCACTCTAGCCAAGGCTGTCTTCGCGCTCCGGTAATGCGAGGAGGAGAAGGGCGAGAGGGCTGGGAGGGTGTGAATGGAGGATGACAAGGAGCCAGGAGGCTAAGAAGCGCTGCCTCTCTCAAGATTCCAAAACTCGCCTACCTGAAGTAAGATCTCTCCCCTCCCCTCCCTCCCTCCCCGGCTCCCTCCCTTCCTTGGCTTCTCTCGAGCTGTAGTTCCCTCCTCTCACCCCAGTCTCCCGCATCCTCTCGCTTCCCTTCCTCCTCTCTTGACTCTCCTCACAGAGCTGCCGTCAACGCCCTCTGCAAGATCCAGCGGGTCGGCCACTCCATCCCGGCCATGCTCGCTCTCGACTCCATGCTCACAGTCAGCATCAGCACCAGATTCTCCCGCCGCTCCGCTCAGCTCAAGATCAACCGCCTCCTCACCCTCCGGCGCTCCATCGCCTCCTTCAGCAGGTGGAAGGAGGCGGCGCAGGAGCAGAGGAGGATGAGGGAGCAGGGGCAGTCGCTCCTCTGCAACTTGTGGGCTGACCAAGTCGCGCTCTGCTTCTCCGTGTGGAAGAGCCTCCGCAAGGAGACCTGCGACGTCCCCACGAGCAGCCTCGGGCCCAAGACCAGCCGCTTCTCGTCGCCTGAGGGCAGAGCCTTCCACAAGTGGTGCAAGTACATCTACGACAGAAGGACACGAGGCGACAAGGGGGACGAAGAAGACAGAGGGGAGTCAGAGGACGAGGACGAGGACGAGGACGAGGAAGAGGAAGAGGAAGAGAACGACGACGTGGCATCGAGTGTGAAACTGAAGGCAGCGACAGAACACGACGAGAAGGAAGAAGATCGAGCTGCTTGCAGCACAGAGGACGAGGGAGCTGAGACAAGAGAAGGAACCAGAACGAGAGACTGAGAAAGCTCCTTCAGTACGTTGATGCAGTCACTTGGCCAGCTCGATTCCAACTTGCAATCCGTGCTGGGAACTGGCCAGGAAGAGTTTGAGGATCACGACAAGCAAGAGGAGAAGCGGCAGGAGGAGAAGGAGAATGCAGAGCCTGTGTTTGACTGAATTTTATCATCCAATTCGTCCTCCCATCAAGCAACGCCACCTCTCACTCTACTTCCCCGAGGTAATCGAGGATCTCAGCTGCCGTAAGGACGCGAAACTTCTTCTGGTCATTTACAATTCCGATTTCGATGTTGTTCTCAGAGATCTGGCCTTCGAAGCCTTCTTTGAGCGTTAGGATAGCTGTATGTATCGCGTCTTCCAGTTCGATATCATCGTTATACCTCTTCTCCAAGAAACTGATGTACAAACGGTCACTCATCACAGAACAACCTCTTCTTCACTCACGTCTTTGCGTTGACCATGTTCTTGCCGATGGCGCAAGCCTTCCATGGCCAGTAAGAGCCAGAAGGGTCGACCTGATACAGCATCGGGCCCTTGTCGTCCGACCCGATGATGAGTAGGGAGACTCCGAAGGGTCGAACTCCTCCCGACTGCGTGAATTCCTGCATCACCGACGCGATCTCTCTCACCAGCTGGTTGGTGGGGATCGGTTCACCATATGTCAACATGTATTTCTGCGCAATTTTCCGTGCCTTGGCCACAAGCACTCTAGAGTCAGGTCCCATTCCCGAATAAACCATTCCAATGTGATTGTCGATCTCCGCAATCTTCTTCACCATTGATTCATCCACTAGAGGAGAACTAACCTTCTTCTCTGTCGCTACAACAACCCCATTTGTTGCTGGAACCAAAGTCAAACGATTATCGCAGGAAAGAACATGAAGCAACGTTGGTCTCACCTTTAATCCCGAGCGAGGTGCTACCCGCCGCCACCGCATTCAAGGCATACTCAATCTGTACCAACTTGCCAGATGGAGAGAAGGTAGTGAGAGAGAAACTGTAGTCAGAGTCTCCCATCCCAAAGAGTTTCGATCAACGCCTGACAACACAAGAAACCAAGATAAGTCAAATTCTATCTTCCAGTTTGGACCACGAAACCGTCCGAAACAGTTTGAAAGTGAAAGGTTTCACATGAAGTGCATAAAAAAACAGCACCTCTTATCAACACTATCTACTGAACCTGTACGTAACATTCTCCCTTTCATATACATCACACACTCGGAGAACTAATGAAACAGAAGCTCTGAATCTCATAACCAAGGATTCTTCCCTCATTTGAATGGTTGCCTGACCTTCTCCGCACCTCCTTTCGACTTCTTTCATATAACGCTCCTCTGAAGGGACTACTTCTCTCGTTCCTTCACTGTTTCCAACTTGCCTGCTGGTAGCTGACTCTTGCCTCTACATACAATTACCTCGTCTTTACGCAACTCCTCTCCCCCTCCCCACTCCCTCCCTCCCCTTCTCTATCCTCTCCCCTTGCTCCCTCAATCATATGTGCATGCTTGATGCCCTGATTCTGTCGTGTACGAGCATGGTCTTCGCGCCTACCCTCCCTTCCTCGCCCATTTGTATCCTCGATTGCATTGCAAGCCCAGGACAGGTGTCGAATTGCCCGTTACCATCGTTTCAAAATGCGTTACATATCGTTACAAGAACTATGAGGGAAAACATCGAGGCGGACCTGGCGTGTGTTGAAGGTACAGATAAAGGGGGTGGAGAGGTCTGGGGCTGAGAAATACCGTAGATGGTGGGGTGATTTGAAAGGGAAATACAGGGGTGTTGAAGGAAATTTTATTTGGAGGGGTAGGGTGGGTTTCAATCTGGTTGCCGGGAAGCAGTCGTAGGCGTGGGAGCAGGCATGCAGGGGCTGGAGGTGGAGGAAGTGCTGGATGTAAGTCCTTGGAGGAAGTGGATAGCTGTGCAAGCTAGGATCCCGGGTAAGGAGGGCAAGGCTGTCGTTCTCCTAGAGAAAAAACCCTTCGATGTCGAAGACGTGAAAAGAATGCTAGCACCCAATGCCGGAGCCGAGTACAAGCTTGACTTCCAGAACGCTGAGTACTGCGTCTACAACCTACAAGTACCTCCTGCTCTCAATGCAATCAAGTGTGACACTATCTTCCCTGCCACTGATCAACAAATCAACAAGTATCGAAAGGATGAGATACATGTCTTGTGGGAGACCGTGGACATCTACAAGAATGTCGTCCTTCCATTCGTAGAGGAGAACGAGAGAGGCCGTCGGATACAATGGGTTCACAACATTTTGGATGGATCTGCGGAGCAGGAGAGAATTATCTACCATAACAATGATCCTCGAGACGGGTTTGTGCTACTCCCAGATTTGAAATGGGACCAGACCAACGTTTCTAACTTATACTGCCTCGCCATTGTGAACCGGAAAGACTTGGTGTGTCTACGTTCACTGAACGACGAGAACCTCGACTTGCTTCAGAACATATACCACCAAGGCTGCGGTGCCATACTGGAGAAGTATGGCGTTACCCCAGACAAACTTATCGTTCACATACACTACCTTCCAACTTTCTGGCACCTGCATGTCCACTTTCTTCATGTCGACCTCGCCCTCAGTGCAGGAGTCACGAGCAAAGCGCACAACCTCCGTGACTGCATCGAGAACATCAGATTGCTACCGAGTTACTATCAAGTGAAGGAGATGGAAGTCCGCCTGCTTGAGAAGTCGTTGCTCTGGAAAGCATGGACTGAAGCCAAGGACGCAGAAGCCGCGACGCAGCTGCAGGATGGACCCTAAAGGCGATCCTGAAGCCAAACTTGCCCCGGCATAGAGTCTTGATGACGCAACTTTACTGATTGAGCAAGAAACTTGAAATCAGTCACACGGTTCGGGTTTGGACGCTTGATGGAAATCAGTTCGCACCACATTGATTAAAGATACTAGCGATGTCTCGCCCGTGCTATCCGATCAGTCTGACTATAGAAGTTGACCGTTCCTGCGGCATTCTGCGGCCTCCGATCGGATCGGTGAGGCACAAGCTACTTTAGTCAAAGCCAGTTAAATCATAACGAGGACAATCAGGAGAGTACGGTAGAGCCTGGGAGGCTTGACCGTTCTGACACTACTGTCGCACAGGCCATACGGCGACAGGAGACATGACAGACCCTTAAACACAGCGGCCCCCAAAACTCACGGGTGACCGTCAGTGATACCCGCTTGGCAAACTGAAGCTCCGTTCTGGGCCGCGGGGCACTGCAAGAATACTGGGCCGTGCCAGTCGGACGCGCGGCCGGTCTCTTTAACTTGATGAGCCGCGCCGCCGGCCCGGTACGGTACTTCCTGCTCCTCAGGCTGCACCTCCTTGGAGTCTTTGACGGAATACAAGTTTGTTAGACTTGTACTAGTCCAAAGTCACGCAGACATCACATCGACCTTCGTTGGTAACAAGACAGTTTTTGCTCAAGACCGAGTTTAATGCACACAAAACCAGAATTGAGGAGCACATGAGAGATAGACTGTATGCTAGGATGTGAGACCCAAGCATCCAGACATGAGAGGACCTTAGCAAGACGGCTAGGAAAGACCCCCTCTTCGTCCCATACGCTACATTGGCCGCCTGCCACGTAAGTCGTCTTGGTTTACAGGAGAGTTTTTGTTAACTCGGCGCTATCTGACTGGCACGGCTGGCATACGTTCCATCCTCCCCCCGAGTTTCTGAAATAGTACGTTACATCGGACGGCAGAAAGTCACACAAACAAGAATGTCAGCAGATCCAAGTCAAGATACGATGATACAACTTCAAGTTCACAGTCATGCTGAGTGGGCAATAACCATTCAAGGATTGTCCATTCTGAAGAAGATTTTCATGCAGGGCTATTAGATGTGCAGTAAAGAGATAAAGGAGATGCATAGCGAGCGGATGCAATGAAGAGAGATAGAGTAAAGATAAGAGTGTCTGAGAAGAGAGAAAATAAAAGAGAAGACGAGAGAAGTTTGCTCGCCAGCATTTGAAGACCAAAAGATAAATTTTTGAACCGTAAAGAACTTGTGACCAGAGATTGCTGCCGCGAGATTGGAACATCCGTTTCAAGGCATCTGAAGATAATTTGCAGTTGTACCTTGTTCGCCGATCCAGAAGTAGCTCCAGTTATGCATGCCACAGCCTAGCTCCATGACATGAAACTTCCGCCAGATCTCCTGGTAGTTCCATGTGATCCTACTCAAAGATCAAGAAAATAAGAATCGAATCAGCTTCAAGTGCGTTTCCACACGGTTAAGCAGATATTCGACCGACCAATCTGGCTGGGGAAAGGCTTGTTTTTCCTATTCGAAGATCAATCAAACAAATTGAGGCTGGGATGAGAGGCCTAAGCAACTTGCGGCCCATAACCGACTGAATACAAGTTTGTTAGACTTGTACTAGTCCAAAGTCACGCAGACATCACATCGACCTTCGTTGGTAACAAGACAGTTTTTGCTCAAGACCGAGTTTAATGCACACAAAACCAGAATTGAGGAGCACATGAGAGATAGACTGTATGCTAGGATGTGAGACCCAAGCATCCAGACATGAGAGGACCTTAGCAAGACGGCTAGGAAAGACCCCCTCTTCGTCCCATACGCTACATTGGCCGCCTGCCACGTAAGTCGTCTTGGTTTACAGGAGAGTTTTTGTTAACTCGGCGCTATCTGACTGGCACGGCTGGCATACGTTCCATCAGTCTTTACTCAAAGTTAAGTTAAAAATCAGTACGAGGACAACTTTGGAGTCACTCGGATGCCGCCACGGGGCCGGGCCTCCACTGAAAAGTTTACTAGTTAACTGATGAGTACCTTCAAGGCTCTCTTTCTTTTCGCTTCTCGCCGAACTTGAACTTCGGAGAGAACTTCGGAAGCCCGCATCTGTCTTGATAACTTCCAGTGAAGGATCACTGTCAACGTAAAATGCTTCACTCAGTCAATGTTAAGTTAAAAATCAGTACCGTAGTACGAGGACAATGGCTGGAGTAGAGGCCGGGGCCCCGCCTGACTTGAAGCTCCGACTCGGCGAGTGGCCGGCCGGGTGATGAGTAATAATGTTGGGAGGCCGCAAAGTTTTACTCAAAGTTAAGTACTAAGTGCTGGTAGGGCCTGCAGAAGGAAGAGGGGTGGGTGGTTGGGCCGTATCGAGTAATGGGGGCAAAGGGGACACTGAGACAACTGAAACTATGGAGGGGTAGGAAAGGGTAGAGAGAGGGGTGGGGTAGGGGTAGGGCCTTAATGGTTTTATGGCGAGTAAACTTCAAAAGCCTCCTGGGAACAAGCGCGACAGGCCGCTGCGTCCCCTGGCTCAGCCTGATGAACGGGGGTGGGGTGGGGTACCCCCATCTAGTTGGTATGGGGCCCAGTGGGTAGGGTAGGGGAATCTTTCGCAACTGCCAAGCCTAAAAGAGGTGGTGCAGGTGGCCCATGATAGTAGAGGAAGACACCCCTCCCTCGGTCAACTCCTAACCCACCCCCTTGAGGGGTTTGTTCCTCGGCTGTACAATGCATTTTATTGATTGACCCACCCCTCCTCTACACGCCTCATCGGTTCTCTACACCCTACCCCCTTCGAGCATCTAGTAACTCAACCCCCCTACCCCTATCTTCGTGTCATGTCCTGGTCTGTTCAACATCCCTAGGGTTATGCATGTACCCCCACCCTTGCTGGAGTCATCCATGAACCCCTACCCCTTCTAATCCCATCTAACCACCCTACCCTTGTTGTCGAGCCGCCGGCCCTACGAAACACCATCACGACCCCACGTAAGATGATGACCCAACAAAAAACAACCCCTACCCCCCCTGATACCATCTGCACCTACTTGCCCTACCCCACCCCTTCTATGTCCATGATCCCCGACATGACGGCAGCCCGATGGAAGATCAGCTAGATCACCCTACCCCGTACCAAGGGACCAAAAACAAATCCACCCCCTACCCCTCCCAGGCCTTCTCTATACCCCTTTCTCATAGGACCCCCTATGGATATCGAACTACCCCCTACCCCTCTTGTTTCTACACACTGCGACTCACCGCTCCCGCTCGCTGCGTCCTCGTTAATGCTGCCTGCACTGAAAGAATCGCTCCCGTCCTGCTGCTCTAGTCCTCTTGCTCCTCCCGTCCTGCTGCTCTAGTCCTCTTGCTCCTCCCGTCCTGCTGCTCTAGTCCTCTTGCTCCTCCCGTCCTGCTGCTCTAGTCCTCTTGCTCCTCCCGTCCTGCTGCTCTAGTCCTTTTGCTCCTCATCCTCTCTCATTCTCCCTCCTGCAGGCATTGTTTGTATGAATTCCCATTCGACTGACCCAGGATCGTCCATTGTACATACATAAATTCATAGCTGGACACACCTCTCATGCTGCTGTGGTCTTCTCGATCGCACTGATATCTGGCTGCTCATTTCATCTCCACCACCTGTTCTTGCATGTTGAAATGTCCCATCGTCTGTGTGTTCCAACGATGCATACATCGCACCCTGTGCCTTGGAGCAGGAATGCTGCTGTCGCTAAACTTGAGTAACAGCAGTACCGGACGTGACTTCGGATATCCTTTGTGCTTCTCGAAGCAGGAATTCAGGTCAATCGTCTCTAGCATGGCATCTGCTTCACTTACTTTGCTGCTTTCTGCAGCTTCTCACCACGTCGATATTGCTCTCAACAACGTTCAAGTAGGGAATGACGACGTCTGCCCCTTCACTCTCCGATCCCAACTGGCAATATGGCATGGGAGGATGGAACAATCCTCGCCTTCCAAACTTCAATCTTCACGACCCGACCGTGATCGGAGTTGATTGGCTGGGATTTCTTTGTCTTCTTGGTGCCTCTCTCGCCCTCATGTACAAGCTCATGTCGTTCAAGGGCCCCGATGGCGACCAAGAGTTCTTCGTCGGCTACCGGGAAGAGAAGTGCCTCTCCATCTACGTCAACCTCATCGCTGCCATCACCTACTGGGGCCGTATCTGCGCTCACTTCAACAATGACATGGGCCTTTCTCTGTCTGTCAACTACTTCAAGTACCTGGACTACATCTTCACCTGTCCTATCCTGGTATGTACTCTCCTTCCTTCTTCCTTGCTCCTCCTGCTCCTTGCTCCTGCTCCTCGCTTCACCTCGCTGCTTCTGGATGGCCGCGACTGACGTGCTTGCCTTTGCATCAGACGCTGGATCTGCTGTGGTCGCTCAACCTCCCCTACAAGATCACCTACTCTCTCTTCGTCGGATTGACCATCGCAT